TAGACATAGAAAACCCACACCCTCATGACCTAATGACCTTGGAGCTAATAATTAATTGCTAATAATTTTTCTATATATTGTCACTCCGTTTAATCTGCCCATGCTTGAATAAAATACTTGCTGGGTCTTGCTGACCCTAAACTGTTTTGACTATTCAGTATATAATATACACAGGCATCAGTTTCCTTTAAACTTTAATCGCTATTCTAGATATGCAAATCTGTGCACATACACTTTCACGCTAAGGCTTGTTTTCTCTTTTTGGCCAGTCTACTTGGCAAATCCTCTCTCACAGATCTATACTACATTCTTGATCGCAATTTTTCCTTACACACACCTCCCTTAGTATACATAAACAGATCCAAACAGATGCAGCTCTCAGTCTCTCTCTCTAGCACATGGAAACAAATTGCTTTCAGTGTTTCCTTCAGCGTTTCTCCCAAGTCTTTTCTCTCTCTTATACATCGGCAATAACAGTATTGGTTGGTTTGATAGAAAAAAACTGGGGAGAGCCATCAGTTAAGGATAGAGAGAAAGTGAGGAGCTGTTGTGGTCAATATCAGAGTAAAACATTCTAGTGGCCTATTGTCTGGATGTTTATGTGTTTCTGCTTTACTTGTGTTTCTGTCATCTTTTCACTCATAGGGCCCTATCGTACAGCCAGCGCAATAGGGTGCAGGCGTGTTTTGCCACAATTTATTGCTATTTCAGACCATCGCAACCCTAATTTTCACAGTCACATTGTTTAAATAGCTAATTTGCCACTAAATAGCTACTTTGTGGATTTATGGGTGTTCCAGTCTAAAAAGGAGGTGTGTTAAAGCACATTGTTTGTCCGTTGCTATTTTGAACAACTGAAATAGACTGTGCCATTGACCAACTGAAATCTGGTCTAAAGCCCAGAGCAGAGTGCGTTTTAACACACTAAATTTAATATGTAGGCTAATGGATGTCTTCAGTGGAGTGCGAACAACACTATTTCCTTATCCACAAAAGTAAACAAGTAAGGTAAAGAGTAAAAGTAAAGAGAAAGTAAAGAGGCTGAATGGAGGAGGCTCATTCTTTATCCCCACTGCAGATGGTCTGTTTAACTGTTTCCTCACTAGTGAATTGTTCTTTCTTTCCACTTTCAAAGTCCGCCATGTAAATAGCAAATGCACAGGCGCGACGCAACTGACTCTTAAAGGGAATGGGAGATGAGACTGTGATTGGTTTAATGCACAATATGCTCAAAACACACCCATAACTCATTAAGAAAATAAGCACAACCCTGTTAGACCATGTGTCAGGGCACAAATTGTATTTTTCTGTATTCAGACACGCCCTTAATGCTTTTGCGCCATACGCTTTAGACTTTGTGTCTAGATTGTTAAAATAGAGCCCATAGTTGTTTTCGCAACTATATAAGTCACACTGCTTGAATATGTTTATACAGAAATGATTTATTAACTCTGTAGCATTTTACTGGTAAAGCATTTTCAAAGGTGCAAAGAATTTAAGTTTAACTGTAAATCTAAACCTCAAAGCAGAAGTCCAGTTGGTTAATTGGATTGTTGGATCGCAAAAGATGTTGAAGCCATGTAAAATTTCCAGAGAAAGCACAACTATTTTACATATTGTCAGAAAAGTACCTAGTTTGTAAGAATTTGTATGAAACCTCTCAATGGAGAATGATAAATCGAACTAAAATGTGTAAAGGAGATCATACAAATTAATACAAATTAGCCTCTAAATCAGAAAAAATACTAATTGCTATGAGAAATTTTGGCTACTAAAACTATTTGACCAGAAATTTGTAAGTTTTATGAGAAAATTATTTTCATTTTCAGAATATATTTTTATGATCAGTTTTTTTATGAATAATAGTTTAAAAAGTGAATTTCCTGAGATTGACCCTTGTATTTGTGCACAGTTTGCATTTAGACACAAAGTAGAGTCACTGTTGTGTGAGCTCAAAAAGCCTTCCACAGGGAGTAATGTTTGCAGTGGGAATATGTACTGCATTTGCTTTTTGTGCATATAGACAGATGTGTGTGCTTTTTGACACTGCGAACATGTCAGCAGTTATATGTAAGTGCACACATACTGACAGTAAAGTGTATACTTTGATCTTAAACATGTCTCCCGGTGAAAATTCAGTAAAGAAACGATGGAAAAATGAAAACTCAAGGTAAAAAAGGGGAAATCCCATGAGACCTGTTCAGTGATGCATTTACACCGAGAGGAATATAGATAAAAATATAGAGTTTCTTCAGTATTCTGAGTTAAAAATACAAATCAAAATGATTATCAGTTTCTAGAAACACTTTTCATTACTCTCTTTTCAGTTTTTCTTTTGCTAGTGTTTATAAATATATATATATTTGAAGTGTTTTCTCAGTTTGAATATGTGTGTGTTCATATCTGTCTTTTTCCCCACCGTCTCCTGCGAGTAGACTAAACTGAAAGTGGTTTGGTGCCTCTGTGACTGTGTTATGCTCTGGTATGCTGTTTGTTATAACATTGAGACTGTAAGACACTGCCACTGTAGGTAATGGCATGCAGTTCACTGGCACCAGTGTCCTCCAGTGACCGCAGTTCTGTGAATAAACACATCATTATGTACTTGCTGCCCTAAGACTGTGAACATCAGATCTCAGATATTTAAAAGAAAGAATAAAGCAAAACATAACTCCAGTATTTAGAGACGAGTTAATTATTAAACATGATGGCCAGATTTGCTACCCAGTGGGCAACTTGTGTAAAAAAACACGTGTAAAAATGCTAATTGATTTGATGTCAACACTTTGCCATCCGTTTGACATCTACACAATGATGGCCTTTTGATTAGCAAGATAATGAGCCAAATGGATTATAATCAAAGAAAAGTTTTATTCATCTAAAAGCTTCAATTCCAGATGAATTTACACTGGATTTTGTATCCCTACTATGCATTTAAATACTTTTGTGTCAAAACATTGCCGTCAAAAACATGTAAAAAATCACAGAACAGTCCAATAATTGATAATTTACGTTGTTTTGATGTCAGATATGTTAAATTGATGTTGTTTTATGATAATGGCACACATTTTTTACATTTTAAGTCTGATTTAGAATTTAATTGTCTGGAATGGTCTGATATGGAAACAATGTGAGGTCACCTAGTATATCTTTTGTTTTTAACAAAATAATGAGAAAGAAGTCTTTGGTGGGGTAGAAAATGTACTTATTTTGCTCACCTGGCCTTTGAAGGGAGTTAGCCATTTTTCGTTAACCTTTTTTACTTTTTGACCAAGTTGTGGCATTGCTCAGATGACACGTCAAATAGACAAGGGTGCTTCTGCCAAACTTCCAATTTTTACTCCATTTCTTGAGTTCAAATAGACAGGGGGAAAAAATAGCTTTTAACAACTCCCCCAACCTCCAGCTGGCCTGCAAATACCCAGCCTGATCTCACGAGGAAACGTAAGTATTTTACGTTTTGTTCGCTTAGTGGCTAAGTCGTACAATTTCAGTGGTATGACAATGTACGATTATAAAAAGGAGGTGTGGCACCCAACCCCACCCCTAACCCCAACCGTCATAGGGTGATGAGCAAATCGTATTAAACTGTACGAATAAGATCGTACGAATTCATACGAATTAGCCATTAAAAAGTTACGAATTGCCATTAGATTGCGTTGAAATACCCACACTAGTGGATGCTGCTCTCTCATTGGCTGCTCTCTCATTGGCTTCGCAGATGTTATTTTCAATCAGCCAACAGGTCCAGATATTTAGCATGCCAAATACCTCACGGCCGTCAGCGACTCATTGACGATTCTCTCAGATCATGTCTTTGATAGTTCACACTGTGTGATTGTTACTCACGTGAACGAGGACCGATTTGCCAGTGAATTTGTCAAAATCGAGGCTAAAATTATGCAGTTTGAACTCATTGGGTATGAGTGTGCATGTGTGTTTGGGAGTGAGAGAGTGTTTGAGTGTTTCCCGGTGTTGGGTTGCAGCTGTAAGGGCATCCACCACATAAAACATAGGCCAGAGTAATTGCCGTTTCATTCCGCTGTGGTGACCCCTGATAAACCAGGGACTAAGCCGAAGGATAGTGAGTGTTCTACCTTATTACAACAACATTTTACTACAGTGTATAAAAAATTGCACAACACATGATTTGTTCATGCACTTTAACATGCAGATTTGTCTCTCTATGCGGAAGTGCATTTCTTTGAACATGGAAATTCTTTCAATGTCAAATATGCCTTAATGTGAGCACAACTGGCTTATAAAGGGGATGGGAGACTCTAATTGGTTTGCAGCAAGTTACACCCAAAAACACACCTATTATTCATTAAGAGAATAGGAGCAACCCTTTTAGACCATGCACTGGATGCACAGACTGTTTTACCTGTCGTTAAACAAGCAGAAATGGATTCTGATACACCCTAAGTGCTCTTGTGTCGTATGCTTTAGACCATGTGCTTAGATCATATCACATAATCATATCATATTTTACTGGGGATAGTTTATAATACCGTACTTGATTAAAGTGATTAGATACATTAATGTAGAGTGTTTCTAGGGATTGGATTAAATATCGGTCTGTCGCCCCTGCAAACCTCAGCGCTCATTTGTTCCCCCTTTTTCCTCTCATATCATAGTGACGTTCTTGCATTTAATTTCTGTACATACATTTTTGTGTGTGTTTTTACTTAAGGTCATTGAGGTCATTAATAGCTGCGCATTGATGGATTTGATCTTCAGTGTTTGGACTTTCAGCAGTGAAATAAACCACACTGAACTGAAGTAAACTGTATTTAACTCTGAAAACTGGACTGACACGTTTTTATTTTATTAGAACTTCTACAGTATCTTAAGGTGCTTTCACACAATCTACATTGTAAAAGTGCTAAAGAAATAAACATAAATTGAATTTATTATAAGTTTCTAAAAAACTGAACTGTTTTTTTTTTTTTTGTTAAATCAAGGTGGCTAACCGGGTGTTTCTGTGTCATTTTTTGCAGATTGTTAATGTGCTCCAGCATTCGGACCAGTCAACGTCTGTCCTTCCTGTGAGAGAGAGAAAGCGGTTCATCTCTCCCTGCACTTGATGTGCTTTGAAAAATGGTGCGATTGCCCACAACCCTCAACAGTGGAAACTTAACTGCCCTTGCCTCATAACAACATTTGCTCTCATTATTTCCCATCGGTTCAATCAAAATAAAATTTGTGCCAAAAGACGATCCATCATTTCTGCCAGAGATCACCGAGATGGACGTGCCCTTATGAAGGGCCAATGCGACTCTGACTGCCAACCGGGAGCCAATGATATTCTTTTTATCCTCTACCACAAACTTTCAATTATTGTAAAAGAGATGTTCTATAGTATAATGATAGATGAAGAATATATAGCAGACATAATATTACTGAGAATAAATCTTATCTATCGATCTTATAAATATATAAATACAACTTTTTTATAAAAGTGCCTCATTTTTGATTGTAGCCATTTTTACACAGGTCTCAATGTGCTCTGTAAAAGACAAATGCTTTCTCTTTGTTGTTGTTTTTCTTTCCCATTCCTTTGTGTTTGCTATGCTGAACAAAGTCGAAAGACAGAGTGTGAAGAAAAACTATTGGATGGATGCAAGTTGTTTTTTTTATTTTTGCTATGGTTTGTAATCAGATTGCCTTACTGTTCTCGATTTATCTTTGTGTGTGTGTGTGTGTTTATGTGTGTGTGTGTGAGAGAGTGAGAGAGAGTGAGAGAGAGAGAAATCAGTCGCCTCAGCCATGCTGTGCCTCATTTCATTAATAAAAGATTCAGACACGCACACACACTCCCACAAATACACAACCACAGTAAAATCAAAGCTGATTGCATATACTTTATCCCAGTTCAATTTTATTGGATGCATCTACCCCTAAATAGATATTTTCAAACATATGCAAACATCATCTATTCTTTGCTCTATGAATCTGAGCATGGTGGCATCAGATGGCTGATAGATGTCTGATCAATATGAAACATCTGGTGTGTGTGTATGATTGTGTGTGTGTGAGAGAGAGTCTCCATGGCCTTATTGTTTTTAGTCATGTAGTCGCTTTTGTGTTATTGTAGGATTTCCCCATCCCCAGTTTACTTCAGCTACACACATTCGCATTCAGATTTAAAACTGTGCCTCTTGAATGCAGCTCTGTTATCAGCAGACTGAACTGCTATATAAATTTAACACACACACTTTGCCAGACAGGACCCAGCAAGCATTTTTTGTTTCTAAAAGATGTCTAATAGATGTCTAAACATAGTCATCTTGGCTAAAACAAGGCTAAATTTGAACTGTCAGTAAAAAACTAATAGACGTCTAGGAATAGGCCAAAACTAGACTAGTCATCAAATAAACAGAAATGAGTGTCTGCACTGTCTGCACATATAAAGTCTGTCTAATCGGTCTATTGGACAACTAGTCTGTTTTGGGCTAGTCTATTAGATTTTCACTGGCAGCCCAAGTTTAGCCTTGTTTAGCCTAGATGTCTACATTTAGATGTATATTAGACGTCAAGTAGATTTTCACTGACAGCCCAAGTTTAGACTTGTTTTAGCCTAGATGTCTACATTTAGATGTCTATTAGACGTCTATTAGATTTTCACTGACAACCCAAGTTTAGCTTTGTTTTAGCCTAGCTGTCTACATTTCAATGTCTATTAGAGGTCTATTAAACACGAAATTGTTTGCTGGGGAGATATCCATCTAATTTATTCATCTGCCCCATTGACTTTTACACTCTAGCAATCTACATTTTAGACACACACACACACACACAGTTAACCTGCCCTGTAATGGTGAATTCAGTGCTTCAGTTTCTTTCGCTTTCAGTTGTTTTGTTCAGTATTGCAATTTCAAGATGAGAGTTACAAGGGAACAGGGTCTTTTTATGCCATCTGGACAGTGGTGCCTGTCTTTGCTGAAACGTAGCATGTTGTTCTTTTTTAATGATTTTTAAATATATATATATATCTATATTTTAATCACCTGTTTTAAATTTTACGATTCTTTTTGATGGCTTCTGCAGTTTTCTAATTAATCTAAAGTTTGTTTCGTACAGTGTCAGTTATATAACATGTATCAGTGATCCTGTTTTAGTGCCAAATTCCTAACTCACACACTACCATCGATCATGCCAATGACTGATCTCATGATGCTTTTTAATACCAGATTTTTAGTAAGCAGTATTTTTCTCGTTTGCCTGCACAATCTGCGTGTTTTCTATCACTTATTTGCTAATGTAAATTCATATCTCACATAGTACAACAGCTGCCTTCAGTTACCGGGAATCAACATGAAGCCTTATAGTGCTTATACGAATGCCTTTTCTATCATGTGAAAATAAGAGCCTCCTTTGTTTATGCATATTATATAGGGGTTCATTTATACCACATGCCACATTCAATGCAGTGTTTAATAGGAGTGACATTTGCTTACAGTATACTCATCCACATCACTGATCATACAGTGGTTGTCAATGATTACAGATAACATACATACCTCTCGCTGAAATCTTCACACTCTTTATACTAGGAATAAAACTAGCAGAACAACAGCAGTTGGGGATTAAAACGCTGGGTGGGCTTATTAATGCCCCCTTAAGAGTTTTAACCTGTTTACTTATCATCCTGAGCAGGACATATGCCTTTTTAAATCCACCTCATGGCCGGACCATCACAAAAAAACAAAGAAAGCATCAAACTGTGCTTGTGCGTGTGTCTTTTTCTGTCTGTCCAGCGCGTTTGGCTACTCTGTTTTCCTCCTTGTCTTTTCTTTCCTATATTTTGATTGCCTTATTGTCTGTATTAGCTCTTATTTAATACACGGCAGCTGTAAAAGATGCTTTTTATCCTAGAGCAGGTTTGAAGATTCTGCATTCTAGCAGTGGGTTTGTTTCTTTCTTCTGACTGACAATTTTATAGAGTCTGGTTTGGTGTATAAAGTTGTATGTCCCCAGACGTACTTTCCAGAAAACATTAACATGGTATTAAGTGATGTAGAAATACAGCCAAGGTCATATGTATACTGTAGGTAAGGACTATCTGTATATAGTCCAGAAAAAAAAGAAACAAACAAAAAAAGAAAAGTAATGCTTTATTGTCTTTTAAGTACCTGTAAGTTGTTGGGGGAAAAGGGTCTGATATGCACAATCAGGGGTCTGTGTAAAGTTTCAAAGTTGATCTGTTCTTCTGTATATCTAATGCTATGAAAATTTCAATGACAATTGTGTATAAAGGGGTTTTAATAAGAGAGTTATTAGGCTGCGGGCTACTGTATAATTCTGTGAATAATGGGAAATATTGGGCTCGGGTGGGCATGGGAGACTGACTGTATGGTCTGGATATAGTAGACATGTCTGTTGAATTCAGAAATTCCTCAATGATTATTGCCTGTGATTAAGACAATGTCACTCCAATTTATGGAACAAATGATGAAAAAAGAATGAGAGAACTGAAACGTGTGGCTTGTGTCTTTTTTAACAGATTGAGCTGTTTGTTGGAAAGGTGTGTGGCATTTTTTTGTTCCAATGCAGAAAACATAAATCATATGATATTGCAGTGTAATAACTTATCATATAGGCTATGCTATATTAGCTTACACTGCAAAAATATCAATGAGTCATGGAAACATACAGTACTTACGTACAGATTTACCTTGATTCTAGGCTACATCAACATTTAAGGCTGCAGTTATTATTTGTTACAATGTATAAGTATTGTAAATGTGAAAAAGCATAGTATTCTTCTGTGAGGGATAGGATTTAGTCCAGAACAAACATGTCTATATGGAAAGTCCCCATAAAACATGGAAACCCAACATGTGTGCGCGCGCGCGTGCATGTGTTTATGTGACTGAAGTCTAGACAGACTCCCGCCTCTGAAATGAGGATAAACCACCTGTCCAGACCGTAGGTCCAGCCGCATGGTCTTAATGGACACGAGAGCGCGCGTGCGTCTGTCGGCATACAGCCCGCTCCCCATTTGCGAGACTCCGAGGCGGCCATTACCCCTCGAAAAAAACAACAGCACATCCTCGCACGGGAAAACACGAACGTTCACGCGTTCAGTGTCTGCGAGGCAAAGTTGAGCCTCTGAGGACACCGTGTGTTCAGAATGAGGTAAAACATCAACAAAATATAGCCGAGATGCGCGCTTTATATATATTTGCAATATAATTCCCATTTAGACGCTGTATATTATAGTTAAAGACTAATAAAAAACCAAAAACTTTACAAGAGGCAAAGTACGAAAAAACTCATATAGAGAGATCACGTGATGCAGGCTTTAAAATAGTTCAAGCTTAAAAGGAAGAATTGCCAACACTTTTTGTGTATTACAAGTTTTAAAAAACAATTATGTTTAACTAGGCAAAAAAGCTATTATTATGATTAAGTATATTAAATCCATAGTTATTTATATTAAATTGTATCTCATTAAATATGTGCTCAATTGCAAACATTTCAAATTTTGCATTTCAAATGTTTGCAATGGATTTTAAAAACAAATTAGTGCAGAAGTAAAACAAAATCTTATTGAGAAAATAGTTTTATGTATTGTAAGTAGGCATGGGCTGGTATAAGATTTGACTGTACGATAACCTTGGATAAAAATATCATGGTTTCACAATACCACAGTGTAGTGATTACTGCTCTAAAATATATTATTTTTAAATGTCTGAGTAATAAACAAAAACTTTTTTTCTCTTTGAAAACAATATATTTTACTTTGAGAAACATTTAAAATATTTTGGAAAAGGAAACATCAGGCTAAATAATTCAAATGAATCATTGACTTCTGCTGTCTTCGTTTGTTTAAAAAGAACACAGATTTCTTTACCATTTAAACGGCATATTTGGAGATATTTTCTGCTGGAGTAACTGTTGCCCTAAAAACGTTAAAAAAAAAAAAAATCTTAAATAAAAAAAACTTACACCTACCTAAGGAACGGTATTACAGAAAATGTTGGCAGTTTTTAAAACCTTGAATTTTCCAAACTGCGGTATACCTTGAAAACGGTTATCGACTCATGGCTAGTTGTAAAGAAAATCTATCAACACAAATTGATTAAAAGCATATTTTGGATGTTTTCTTTATATTAGCCTAAACAGATTTTTAAGAAAAGCAAAAATGTCCTAAACCAAACTGTAGGCCAATGGGCAGCATTAAAAAAAAAAAAACTTTTTTGCCTGAAAAGTTTTTTTTTAACTTTTGCATTCTGTAATTTTTTAGATATTTGTTATATGATTGTTTCATGTTTAGATATGTTTCACTTTTCATGGACCTGATATGTACCTATGGCTTCTTCATATTTCTATGAGCATGAAAACAACAACATATTTATTCAGTTACAACATTTGCAGAGTCTATTTTATTGGAATCAAACTAAATTGCACAACTTACATTTTTATGTGAACAATCACTGCAGTTTACCTTTAATGTCAGTTATATAGCGTTTCACACTGAAGTCTGAAGGTGAATGTAGTTGACACTTTAAATTACAGTATTTTAAATCTCTCAAGATGTTTCACAAAGTTTCTGACTGGGCCTGACTTGTACATCGTTCATGCCTTATTTCTACATATCCATTAATGCATACAAAAGTGTAAAAGACTTTGCTCTAAACAAGAAAGAAAATGCATAGTCATCCAGTTGGAAACAATTAGAAATAATAGGCTGTAAAAGAGATAATAATGCTCATGAAGATGGGGTAAAATCCCTAAAGTTAAGGTTAAGATAAACATTCCATTATAATTAGTTTTATTCAATTTATTTTTCCATATTACACTTTACATATACACACAACATTCATGTTTACAAATTGGGGCATGCACAAGTAGGCAGTGTTATTTGAATGTCTGAGCTGTAAAACAAGTTGTTAATGATTATTTTACTATTATATTACACCATACAAACAAAAGTTCTCAGTCAAGTTGTTATGGTTTATAAAATCACTGGCAGTCTCTAATCAGAAGCCAAGCAGCAAGAAGAGAAAATAAATTGACAGAAAAAGAAACCTGTCAATGAGCTCCTATAAAGGAGGTCACTGAGTGACAAATCAGGTTGGAATGTAGATAAAATAGTAGCCCCAGATGATGTCCTTTGAACAAATACATTCTTACACTTTATTTGTATACTGCATTCTTCAGCAGAATTGTTCTTACACTGTAGTGTTTGAAGTGTGATGATGACCCCATCTTTGAACTATAGATGTTCTGTATTGGTCTATACAAAAATATACATTTCCATAAGGTTTATTTATGCAGAGTCACTCATAGTCACTTATTATAGCGTGAACTGATAAACTGTAATAAATATAGTATACTTTAGTTTTTACTACAGTAAATTGTGAAATGTAATATAATATTCCTAATTTAGATTTGTTTCTAATTTGTTTATTTCTGTTAATGTATTTCCACCTCATACAGCTATATAATTACCATTCATTCATTTACTTTCCTTCAGCTTTGTCCCAGATTATCAGGGGTCGCTACAGCAGAATGAACCACCAACTATTCTAATTTCTAGCATTTTTTGCAGCAGATGCCCTTCCAGCCGCAACCATGTACTGGGAATTACCCCGACAGATTAATTCAAGTAGCCTATTTTACTGGTTCAAAAACGATACACTATTTATATAAATTGCTATGGTAGGCCTTTATGGAAATGATAAACATTCCAAGCAATTCTTTTCTTTGTTCCATTCACAGACACGTGTTTGTCAAGATGATGGTGAAAATGTATCACTGTATTGTCAAGGTCATTTTCACAGATTTCTGATTTTGAAGAGAAATAATGGAAAGAACAAACACACGATGGACTAAATATGAAGAGCAAAGCGCCATCTACAGTTACAAGATTAGATTCACTCTAGCATAGAGGGTTGTTCCTGATTCCGTTTTTTTTTTTTTTTTTTTGACTGCATCACCTGTAGCTACTATGTTTAGCTAGCTAGTTTTCATGTCATTTGGATATTAGAACTTCTTGTAACACCATGGACTGTTAAAGAACACGGAATATTTATAACATATTTATTTTGTCACCTTTTTTCGTGACTTGTCTGATTTGTTTTAAGATGTATGGCGTAGATTAGGGGTGTCAAATTTAGTTGCTAACACCGCCTCCAACCCTGTTTCATCACATTTACCTGTAGGATTCAAAGAAGACAAACGGACTCTATTAGTTTGATCAGGTGGCTGAAACTCCCTTCAGGAACTGAGTTTGTCGCCTGTGGCGTAGATTATAAATCTGCTTTCACTTTCTTATTCTTTCAACCTCAACCCCTTCACCGGAAGAGTTAAGCGTTAAGGTGATCCAACTTTGCTCAGCAAGATTTCTACGAACAACTGTAGGCTACTTAAGATATAAGGTAAGACAAATTTAACAAACAGGTCAAGATCATTTAAAGATTTGCTGACCATTATAATTGGAACAATACTAGCTTTGAGAATCGCCTTTGTCACAGGCCTGTATTAATTGCCGTCTCTTGTTTTCTTAACAGCGAACGTTTTTTATCCCTTCACTTCAGAATATAATGTTGGAAAAAAGTAAGTCACATATTTGTTATATTCATGCTATTATTAATAAATATTTTTATTTTTAACCTGTTGACTTTCTTTCGTCCCTGGAGAAAAGTTATTTTTATTTCCCCACACACTGAAACTGATTGGCTTCAAGTTTCAAAAGTTATTCAGTTGATTATTTCACTATTTTATTGAAAATCCAAAGTAGGTCTACTTTTCAATAAAAAAGTATTAATTATCAAATAAATAGGCTAATTAAAATAGGCTAATAGTAAATAAAATAGGAGGAAATGAAATAAAAACAAATGGTACCATTTGTCATAGCATCAGGGCCCAGTATGTTCTTATTCTGGTCCTAACAACTATTAAAAAAAATAATTAAACAATAATAATAAAAAGAATCGATTATATAAACCAGGTGCTTCTCGGAAATGGCTATCTTTGCTTAGCATCAGGTGCACAGCAGCAGAAGACATTTGGCAGCAAACTATGAATTTAATTTGATTAATAGATGTCTAATAATACTACCAATTTACGTTTTTATTTTTATTTACATATGCAATGAATGTAAGCCTGCTAACTGTGTTTGGTTCAAATGATAGAATACGTACACTTAGTTTATATAATTAAATAATAATTAAGAAGGTGCTGATCGCAGAGGACTAGCATAATATTTTGAGGGCTATATCACGAGCTCAGATTTGGTTGGCCAATTGACGTTTCAGCACCACCTACATGTGTAATAAATTTTAAAGTGGTTTATCTGTTTTCCTACCCTAAATAAAAAAAAAAAGAAAATCCAGCCAAAATTGTTTTTTAATTTTTTTGTGAGTAAAAGTAAAACCAAAAAAGGTCAGTTTTCTTTCTTTTCTTTATCCCGTTTAAAACTGGAAAACAAATTGTGCGTGTTCATTTTTTTGATCAAACGAATAAACAAATAAGAGCACAGTTTTTTGACTCATTATTTGGTTTTGACTTGTTTTGGTTTTGTGCTTGTTTTAATTGTTCGTTTTATGTTAATAAGCAGAATAACAGATGAGCTTTCGTTTTTTTGTGCGTACCGAATAAACAGAAAAACGAAAAATTTACTGTTTTTCTGATGTTTCGTTTTCCAGAATAAAATGAATAATCAAATGAACGGATGGCACACAGACCCTTTTGAGTAGCCTATGTACATAAGTCAGTCAGTCAGTGGTATAACAACACACACATCATCAGTAAATGACTGAATTCATTGTTGGATGAACTATCCATAATAGCAGTAGGCTTGTACAATACAATCTGAATTGCAAACCGTTGCTTTTTGATGGAAAGCTGCATCTGGATTATATTATCATATCAGTAAAAAAGTTGCTCACAGATTGACTACCGGTCATTTAACTATTTATGATGTTTAACAGGGTGTGCACTGAAAATCGTTGTCATTCTTTTAACTATAGCAAACATAATATTTAAAACACAGTTGTTAAAGTGTTTATTTTTTAAAGATTGTTTCTTTGAAGATTGAGACTAACCTCTATTGTTTTCTTCTTTACAGTTTATTACAAAGTCATGACACCTAAAAATGTTGAACAAACTGCTCTAGAATTCGAGGAAAATCTAAAAAAGAATATAAAATATGTTAAATTAAAAAACGTGGAGAGGGGAAAAAAAACAAGAGAAAAGCCCAGTGATGTTCACCTGGCTTTCTGTCCAGTAGTTTCTCGCACTGGAACTGACATTGATGCGACACTCAAGAAAATTAAAGGTAAGAAATTTCTTTGCGAATATATAACATTAGTAGTATAAAAAAACGAAATGTTTTTTTTTTATATGTACTGCTACATATAGGGCCTACTCACAATCATTTTCTCTATTTTTGTCTTTAGACGATACACCGACCATTTTAGTGGTGCTTCATCACACATTTGACACTGAGGTTGTTGTGTCAAATAGCAGTACATTTGTGGCAAGGGAGAATATGCTTGTTGTTGACTGTCTGTTCTACGAGGGTAAAGGATTGCTTGCCTGTAAAAAAAATAAGGAGGCTTATAAAGAAGCTGCAAAGTGGCTAGTATGTTCTCATTTCAGTATTACATGTCAGCTTTTTTATGTTAGCTAGATGTTATTGATTTACTGTTCATAACTTTCCTACATATATTCATATATTTCTTTCAACGTTTGTGGAAAGTTTTATGATTCAGTACCATCAATGTTAATAACATGCTGATAGTGTTCATCTTATTATTTTTTTTTACTCGCTAGAAAAACCGAAAGGAAGCTGTTGGCAATTCAAGCCGCAAGCAGGACACATCCTCCCCAGATGTCCGGTCTAGTAGAAATGATCATAGTAAGTAAATGAGTATACTTTGTTTAAATTAGATATCTTATTAATTATGCCAAATTAGCTAACTGTTTAAGGTTTAACACTTAATTATCCACAGATAGAGATGAACGCAAAAAACTTGATGCCTCCAAGAAAAAAACGAAAACTTGTGTTATTCTCTGAACAGTGAAATTGATCACATCAGGCAAGCACTGCAAAATACAACAAACTTTAAAATTTTACATTCTGCACATCTGTATTGGAAAACAACATGGTGGATTAATTTTTTATTGTTTCATATGTTTTAAATGCATTTTTATGACCAATGTTGAGAATAATCCTAGTCTAGATTTATAATGTAACCCACTACACTACACTGGGCCTGTTTTCAGTACATTTCCTCAAATGACTCTATTAGCATGGTCAACAATCATCAAAAGAATAGTGTAATAAGGTGTGATGGTCACTATCATGCAGCATTTGGGACCTTGATTTCTGATATGTGATTCAATGTGCACATGGTGTGAGAGGAAGAAAGCAAGATTATCTGCTTGCTTAAAGTCTGCATGAACTCAAAATGTACAATGTTCATTTTACTAGCACAAATTAGTCTTTATGTGAACAATTAATCAGTGGAAGTTAATACACTGAAAAAAAAAACAATTAATACTATGAGACATGTTTAATTTGTACGAAAAATGAACAAAAGTCTTTATTAACTTCTCTCTTTATCAATTAATAAACATTATTTTAACATTACACTTTCAGGCCTGTAGCCAGCTTATTGAAGTAGGCCTTATTTGTTTTCTGAAAACTTTTTGCAGTTATTCACCTGATTTTCTGTTTAATTGGGGTATACATATTACATTTTAATGACATATTAAGAACTTGTATTTGCTGGAATATCTTGTTGGATAGTTATTATAACTAAACTTTTTGATGTACCAAAAATATTTCCTACCGTTTTGTCAAATTGCTTTATTTACATGTGCATTTAAGGGTAAAGGCGAGTTTTCTGGCGCCTTAAAACTGGAACTCATCGGCTAAGGGAGACAACCCCGACAGAAAAACAGGCAAGTCAAGAGGCCTCAAGATGTCAGCCCCATCACGTGACTTGGGCGCAGAGGGCCAATCACCCACTCGCCCTAAATATATCGATTACGAAACCTCAAAAAAAAAAAAAAGGAAAGTTGGATGGACTAATAGGAAACAACCTGGCAAACGTTTAAGGATTAATGATTTTAGGATTGAGACTTGGAATGTTCTATCCCTGTACCGACCTGGAGCTCTAAATGCACTACTCGAGCAAATTTTAAAATATAAGAGTGATATAACAGCTATACAGGAAGTGAGATGGCTGGGATCAGGATTACTGGAGAAAAAAGAAGAAACGGTCTACTATAGTTGTCATTAAAAACATCATATCTTAGGGACCGGCCGGGTAATAAGTAAAAGGCTAAGATCTCAGGTAATTAATTTTAAGCCGTATGGTCCTCGAATATGTTATGTAAGATTAAAAGGGAAATTCTTTAACTACAGTATCTTCAGTGTGTATGCATCCACAGAGGCAGCTGAAGACAGTGAAAAAGATACCTTTTATGACGAACTAGAGAAAGCGACAGAAAAGTGCCCACAATAGCTCTTTCTGGGAGATTTCAATGCACAGATAGGCAAAGAAAGATCATTGCATCCTGTGATAGGAGGACACAGCCTACACGACGAAACAAATAATAATGGACTGATGAATTTGCAGCATCATAATACCTAATTGTAGGCAGTACCCTTTTTAAATCCAAAATGATCCACAAAGCTGCATGGGTATCCCCAGATAACAGAACTGTCAATCAAATTTACCATGTATTACCAAGCTCAAGACACAAAAGTTATCTCCTCAACGTGAGGACTTACAGAGGTGCAAATGTCGACTCAGACCATTATCTTGTTATGGGTATTCTCCGAGCTCGAATATCGAATATTAGGAAAACAAAATCGGATAAGGTAATTAAGTATAATATAGCCAAGCTCAAAGATCCCACCTCTATACAAAGGTTCCAATACTGCTTGGATGAAAATATGAGGAGAACGGAGAATTCGGAGGATATTGATGCGGAATGGAACGTATTTAGAGAGGGCATAAAAAATGGCGGCAGAAGAAACATTAGGAATTAAACAGAGGTCACCGCGACCCGATTGGTCTGATGACGAGTGCAGAAGAGCTACATTGGAAAAGAACGAAGCGTATGATTAGTAGGAGAAGGACGAGAAAATCGGTGGAAGAATATAGAAAAAGCACAAGAGATGAGAAGAAGCTCCATAGAAAGAAGTAGAGAGTTTGGGAGAGAAACAGAGTGGAAAATCTAGAATTATTAAAGGAGCAGAAGGATATAAGAAATTTCTATAAAAGTGTAAACGAGGGGAGGAAAGCATTTCTACCAAGGATAAGCCAAATTCGGAAAAGTGACGGAACCCTAGTAACAGATAAAGCTGGCATATTGGAAAGGTGGACTGAACATTATGAAAACCACTTTAAGATAAAGGGCGAACATGAAACTATACATCAGGAATACCTCAGCAGCGATGATTTAGAACCACCAGATGATGATGAGGTATTTGATGTCGTGAAGACTCTAAGAAATAATAAAGCACCTGGAATTGATGGGCTACACTCTGAACTTTTGAAAGAAGGAGGCTCGGAATCCATGAAAAAGCTGCATGAAATAATACTGAAGTTATGGACAGAGGAAGTGATCCCGGAAGAGTGGAAGACAGGAATCATATGTCCAATACATAAAAAGCGACGTACTGGAGTGTGACAATTACAGAGCTATAACCTTGCTCCCCTCTGCATATAAAGTACTCTCCAGCCTCCTGAATTCAAGACTCTGGCCATATGCTGAGCAAGCCATGGGGCAATACCAGTGCGGCTTTGTGAAAGGCAAGTTTTACAACAGATCAATTGTTCACTATCAGACAGATCATGGAAAAAAATGAATGAATTTAATGTCCACACGTATCTATTGGTTTCAAAGCAGCATACGACACACCTTCGTGAGAACTTATACTTGTCAATGAAGAGGTTAGGAATCCCATTGAAGTTAATACGCTTAGTCAAAATGACAATGCAGGACACAAGCTGTTGTGTAAGAGTGCAGGGAGATCTCTCCAAGAAATTCCGGTGTGATCGTGGCTTAGGACACGGAGACACACTTGCCTGCACACTGTTCAATCTGGCGGTTGAAGATGTAATTAGAGATGCTGGTATAAATACCATCGGCACAATATACAATAAAAGTGTTCAAATAGTAGCATATGCTGATGATGTTTGCATTATTGCCAGAACTTTATCAGCAATGAAAGATGCTTCCTCTTCTTTGGAATTGGCAGCAAGGAAAATGGGACTTAAGATAAGTGAAAGCAAGACAAAGTATATGACTAGTGATGCCCGCCAGACCAACCCAACGATACAAGTGGGAAATTATATATTTGAAAAGGTCAATAAGTTCAAGTATCTAGGATCAGTGATCACTACAAACAACAATCTAAGTCAAGAAGTGATACAGAGACTTGCCTCTGCAAATAAAAGCTATTACAAACTCATGAAGAACCGTTCACTGCCTAGACAGACAAAGATAACCCTCTAAAAAGTCCTGATTCGCCCAGTCCTGGCCTATGGATCAGAATCGTTGACAATGACAAAAGCCATAGAACAAAAGCTCTTAGTTTTTGAAAGAAAAATTCTGAGGAGAATATATGGCCCAATAAAAGACAATAATCAATCGAGGATACGTCACAACAATGAGCTTGCAGCCTTGTATAAGGAAATTGATATAGGTAAATATATCAGACGAGGCTAAGGTGGGCAGAACATGTCACACGTATGGATGAAAATTCCATTACAAAAAAATCTTCAAAACTGACCCCGTAGGCAAAAGAAAAGTAGGAAGGCCTAAACCAAGATGGCGAGACAGCATTAGTAGTGATGCCAATGTTTTAGGAATAAGGAATTGGTGGGCAGTTGCCCGGGACAGAGAACATTGGCGGAAATTACTTGAGGCAGCCAGGATCTAGTAATGGATTGTCCCGCTAAGGATGATGATGATGATGATGTGCATTTAAACTGTAAGTTTTATATTACAGTTTTATAAACAATAAAAATACTTCAAATTAGAAATTAGAACTTTAAATTCTTAGAATAAAGAAATTAAGAGTTCAGATGCCAATACCTCTAAATGGCATGTAAAATGAGCATTTTTCTCAGCCTCGTATATTTATTTAGTTCAGTATTTCACTTTAAAGGCATTGAAAAGAATGCATTCGTCACTATAAAAGTAAAATCACTGAGTCCACAGTTGGAGAAAAACAGTTGGAGAAAAATGCAAATTTTAGAAGAAAATATTAAATGGCATTTAGAGTTTTTTTGCATCTAAACTCTTCCAATATGAAAATATACTTATATTTAAAATACAATTTCTTAAGCATAATTTTCTTTGGGAAATCTGTTTAAACTTGATTTAAATTAAAAACTGAAGCCTTTAGGCAAATAAAAAACTGGCCAGCACTATCAACCTTCCTCAGTCAGAATTTGGTTATTTGAATAATAAGATAAATTCAAACATAATAATAATAATGCAAATTTTGGTCTTTCAAACAACCTAAATCTTCTTGGCTTTGTGTCTGAATATTTAATTTAACTTAAATATTTTAATAGCAGTTATATAATTAAGAGCGATATATAAAATATATAATGTATAAAAAAAACAATATTCATTCTAGGCGGGGGTGTTGGGGGGAGGGGGGGGGGGTGGGGGGTTGTATTCACTCATCCCCAGTCAATGTCAAGTGCAAACCTACGCCCTTGGTTGCTACACAATACAGATATTAAAACAAAACAAACACGGAGAGAACATGCAAACTCCACACAGAACTGACCCAGCCGAGGCTGGAACCAGTAACCTTCTTGCTGTGAGGCAAACTTACTGCCCACTGTGCCACCGTGCAGCCCTTAGTTGTTTTTATCCCTGATATTTACTCCACCATTCATCCACCAGAATGAGAAGGCATTATTTTTCTTACATTGATAAAAAAAACAGGTTTGCTTATATAAAACGCCAGAGCACCCACGCCAACTCTGGGAAAACATGCAAACTCCACAGAAAATGCCAACTGACCCAGCCGGGGCTTGA